AAGTTCTGTTAGGTTCCTTTTCTAGTTAGGTCTGTTTCTGGGGTTGGTTCCTGTAGCTCATGTCACTCCCCATGTCGCTTGGAGCCCGGTGATTGATCCCCAAGTCCCCTGTGACCTGCCATCAGAGTAGCATCTATGCTGTTGTTTAGTTAACTAGTCACTCTCATTTGCCTGCTTGCCCTGCAAAAGCACGGTAGGAGCTGTCCAGTAAAACAGAGTGCACTGGCTCACCTCGCCGGTGCATCCTGTGTCCCCAGTCCTCTTGGCGTGGTCATCACACCTCAAGTCCCGGTCCCCACTAGAGGGACCCCAAGACTGGATGCTCTATGTGCCCCCAAGGCCTGAGCCTGGACTCCGTTAACCTGACAGCTGCCCAAGCCCCGCCTCCCTGTGTCACATGACCCACTGCCAGTTGCCCAAGCCCCGCCTCCCCATATCACATGACCCACTGCCAGTTGCCTAAGCCCCGCCTCCCCATATCACATGACCCACTGCCAGTTGCCCAAGCCCCGCCTTCCCATGTCACATGATGCACTGCCAGTTGCCCAAGCCCCGCCTTCCCATGTCACATGATGCACTGCCAGTTGCCCAAGCCCCGCACCCATATCACATAATCCTCTACCAGTTGCCCAAACCCTGCCTCCCTGTGTCACATGACCCACTACCCCACTCAGGCTCTAGCAGGTGCCCTGTGATGCCCACTGTGAATGACAGGAGGGGTCAGGGTCTGGTCTCCCCCCATGGGTGGGGTTGCCCCTTGCAGGTGCCTGGGTTTTTGCACTGTGGGCAGCACCTGCCCCTGGGGATGAAGGGCCCAGGTGCCACCTGCCCTCTTGTTCAGAACAAGATCTGGGGACCTCGCCTTCACCTGAGCTTGCCCTCATCAGACAGGGGTTCCCATGGGTGGGCCTCCTGCTCCAGCATGGGGCCAGCAACACCCTGCCAAGGACAGCCCCAAGAGGACGCCAGGCTCTGCGGCTGCTCTGGGTACCTGCACCGGGCTGGGGTCCAGCTGCTGTGTCCCGGCACTCTAGGTGACATGCTCCCGGTGCAGCTCCACTGAACAGAGAAGGCCACCTGCCACGCTCGGCTCTGCTCCCGGGCCAAGTGGCTGCCCACCCCAGTCATCATGTCTGAGTTTTAGACAGAAAGAAGAGGGGAGCTGGGGCTGTGGCGGGCTGGAGTCTGCTCCTTTTTTGTAATAATAACAATAAACAACTCTCCCTAGAGGCCTAACCTTGCTAGACACCACGGCCTGGAGAGAGGCCGCACGTGCCGTCGGTGCGGGAAAGCAGGGGGCTCAGGCCCACCGTCCTTCAGTGGGCCAACACTGGGCAGACCTGCTGGAGGGGGCGTTGGCTGGGGGTGGGCCACCGGCACTGCCGCGGGGGAGGGGCTGGGGTCCCTGCCACTCATTCCGGTACTCCCACCGGTTCCGCTCACTCCGTAAAGCTGTGCCGGCGTGTTCTTGCCTGCTCGCCTGTCAGTCACCTGACTGACACGGCAGGATGCTGAGCAGGGTGCCCCGCCGAGGTGCAGTGTCTCAGGTACTGGCACCTGTGACAGGGTGGCCCTGGTGCTGGCCAGCAAAGGTGTGTGACAGCTGTCCATGAGGCGCCTGTCCCTCTGTGGGCCTCCCTAGGACGGAGCCCCCAACCGCCATGCCGAGGGGGTCTGCTTGTCTCCGTGGTGACGGAGCGGTCTCCAGCAGCCACCACAGAGCACTGCTGTGCCGGGCAGCCTCCCGGCCCTGCTCAGCCGGCCTTGTTTCAGCCAACGGGGCTCTGCCGGGGATCTGAGGCGAGTGACTGCCCTCCTGGTGCATGGTCCCATTTTGTCCTGCTCCAAAATCAGCTATAGCTCCTGGAGTTGCAGCAACCAGTCTGCCATGATGCAGCCACGCTAGTCCAGGACGGTAAAATGGAAAGTGTCACAGCCAAGCATGGAATAAATCCACTGCCCTACAGCCTGTGCGCCTGGCCAGCTCTCTGCACTCCCCGCTCTGTGAGGCAGAGGAACTGGACACAGGTGCTGCCGTGGGGGGCGTGAAGCCCCTGTCTGGTGGAAGGGGGTCCTTTATCGAGGGTGGGCTTGGTTCTCACTGTTCTGCTTCTATTCTGACTCCTGCTGACTTTGCACCTGCAGCAGGTCCCTGCCAGGCATGTGGGAGAGCCAGCTAGCGTGCCCGGCTCCTGGCCTCAGCCCGGCCCAGCCCTGGCCACTGCAGGTGCTTGGGGAGTGAGCCAGAACATGGAAGCCGTCTGTCTGTCTCCCCTCTCCCTTCTCCATCTTTCAGGCAGACGAAAGCACAGGGCAGGAAGAGCCTGCCACTGGGGCTTCTTGTGGCTGAGGCTGCCATGAGAGGAGCGGACGGGGGCCAGGGCACCAGGCTCCTGCCCGGGCTGGCTCACTGCAAGGGACCGTCTCCCCTGAGCAAGCAGAGCCCTGAGCCAGTGGAAGCTGGGAGAGCGAGGGCCTCTCCAAGGAGCCTCATCCTTGCCGCGGCTGGCACCCCTGCCCTGTCCTACACTCCCGCCGTGTCTGCAGGTGCAGCTGGTCTCGGTGGGCGCACTTGCCAGCGCCAGGCAGGGTCACGGCCTGCAGCTGCAGCCTCGGGTGGGCCAAGGGGCATGAATTATTACAGAAACAGAAAAAGGCACCAGCTTAGCCAGTGCCCAGACCACGGCGGGGTTCAGAGGCCACTCCCTCTTAGCCACCGTGGCAGGGAACCCCACTCACAGCCAACAGCTTAGAAACACAGGGTAGGCCTTGAGGCCCCCCCCCGGTTCCCTCTCACAGCAACCAGCTGCCCGGCTGACACATGCCCTCTGACCCGGGAAGGCCACGCCCCACGCCCTCTGACCCGGGAAGGCCACGCCCCACGCCCTCTGACCCAGGAAGGCCACGCCCCAGCCATAGGCACGCCCCGTTTCCACACCTACCACTTTGCCTCCACAAGTTCACAGCATGCGGAATTTGTTACCCTATTGGGGAGAACTATTTTAAGCCTAATTAGCATGAAATTTTTAGAATGCAAATGCTTTTCATTTAGACATAAAACAAAATGCCACGACATTTCTTCCACCCATTTATCATAAACAAGTTAATTACTGTGTAACAAATCGCTCCTGCTGGAATTGTAGTCTGTGTGCCGAGGACTCCAGCGAGCTGCAGTGGAGTCTGGCCGTCACACGGAGCCCGGGCTCCCGTGGCCCACGCGGGTGTAAGCCATGATTACGCTTCACGCTCTGCTTCACCACGGCCTTGGGTGTCCACAGCCTCCTGCCGTCTGTGAGCGGACACGGGCACCTTGGTGTGCGTTCTGGCCTGTGCGCACACGGCTTGACCTCCACGCGTGCAAAATGCCTTCCTGGGTGAGAGACAGCTCTTTTTCACAGCACAGCAAGCAAAGCTGCTGCCTGCAGTGCCGGGATCCCACGTGAGTCTGGTTCCTGTCCTGGCCCCACTGCTGTTCCAGCTCCCTGCTAACGCGGGGTGGCCCCTGCACCCACACGGGACACCCGGATGGAACGCTGGCTTCGGGTTGGTCCAGCCTGGTCATGCTGGTCACCTGGGCGTGAGCCAGTGGATGGATGCTCTCTTCCACTAACTCCCTCTCAAGCAAATAAACACTTCTTGCTATTTTTAGAAAAAAAAAAAAAAAAGCAGATTGAAGCGGGTGGGAGTGGCACAGTCAGTGGCCCAGATGCCACAGGCCCTGGGGCAGGGCAACAGCTGCCCCAGGCCCACCCCAGGAGCAAGTGGGCAGGGGGAGTGGTACTTGCCCAGCACCCACCTGCTGCTCGAGCTCACCTGGGTCACCGCAACTCCTCCCCTCAGCCCATGAGCAAGCACTGCTCACTGAAGTCCTGCTGGCTGTGGTCCCGCCCCGTCCCCGCACACACTGGGCAAGCACCGGGCTGGAAGCGTGGTGCGGGCGGTGGGGCCCACGGAGAAGTGTTAGAGACCATGCTACTCCGAGCGGTGCCTCCAGCAGCGAACGCTGAGGCCCTGGCAGACGGCAGCCATGCCTCAAGGAGCAAGCCACAAGGACGGCCGTGCCCTCAGCCACGGCTGCGTGCACACGAGGCCCCCACCAGCATCCCCCCCAGAGCTGCTTCCCCAGCCTGGGTCCCAGCTGCTCCTCGGCCAGCTGCCTGCAAAGCTTTCTTTGTTTTGGTGATCAAAGAATGAGCAGGACCACGATTGACACAACAGAAACCGACCCCAGCGGAACACACAGTGCAGACTCACAGAGGCCGAGCTAACAAGCCCGCAGCACAGGCAGCGGGGAGGGGGCGAGCGGGAACTGCTCGGTGGCCGGAGTGCCTGCGGGCGTCTGCCAGGACACCCCTGCATGGACTCACAGATGCTCAGGGGGAACGCCGCATCTCTGCAGGGAAAAATCTCACGTTTTCTAGAACACAACACTGGGGAGAGGCCGACGGCCAGAGGACCGTTTCTTTGCAAACACCAAAATTCACCTTTTGCAGCTCCCTCTCAGTTCCTGCCCCTTCCGCTGGGGTCAAAGGCCAGCACCTTCTCACTGCAATCTCTCAGTGTGGTTCCCTGGGCTGGGAAGGGGCTCAGAACACTGCTGGGCCTGCGGCCCCTGGTCCTGCTCCCGCCGTCCGCGGAGTGGGAGCTGAAACAAGCGCCCTGGCTGCGAACACCCGAGTGAGCGGGCTTACCGGCCGCACCCCACATGCCTGCTGCACCACGCGCTTCTAGCCGAGGTGCTGTAAGAACCCCAGGCTCCCTGAGAACACACAGTGAGGGCATCTCCCCACCTGCGCCTCTGGGTGACACGGGGCCCCAGCTCCAATCCGTTGCACAGGAAATGATTCACCTCACCCAGGAATGACAGGGTTTCTGAATCAGTCACATAGCCAGGATGCCGACGCGCTGGGCAGGCAGAGCCCTGGCCCCCCACACTGACCCGGCCTGGCTGGCCATCCCCGGGGACACGGCCCCGCCCGCCTGCACCCCAGTGGTCCTACCTTTGAGCAGCTTCCCTCCCTTGGGGATGTTGTGGGAGACCCAGGCCGTGTAGCCTTCTTCTGAGAACCCAGCCTTACAGGTCCCTTTGGCTACAGGCTCCTCCTGGTGGGCCTGAGAACAGAAAGGAGGGAGGTTAAAGCAGGAAGGGTAAAGAAAAAAAAGTCGACAGAAAACCACTCCTACCTCTAGCTCCGGGCCCTGGGCACATGACCGGGCTAAGCCTTCGGGGCATCCAGCCCATGGGGTCCTGGCCCCGGGTTGCGCAGGGGATGGGCGCAGAGGGGAGCCAGGGCAGCAGGACCCAGCCCCAAGAGGAGGGGGCTGGTAAGAGAGCCACGGCGCCCCTACAGCTAGGGTTAGGGTTGTGGCTTCTCCAGGTCCCCTCTGCAACGGGAAGCGGACAGGAGGTTTCAGGGCTAGGTCTGCTTACTGGTGGGGCTTCCATCCCTGCCCTTGGCTGCTGCTCCCCCTCGGAGCGCCCCACCTCCCGGGACAGCCCTACCGGGACACCAGCGAGAGCTCCGCCAAGGAGTGGGCAAGACTGGCGGGCAGGGTGCGGGGTGGGAAGACTGCCTCGTGGGCAGCTGGAGGCGGCCAGGCTGCGTGGAGCGGCGGAGCACCCGCACCGGCAGTTGCGCCTTCGCGGGGCCGCCAGAGCGGAAGGCTGTTCTCCACTGCCGCTGCAGCTCGCGGGAGCTTCGGTGCCCAGGGCGGCTGCCCAGGTGCCCTGGACCCTGCCTAGAAATGGCTAGGGCAGTGGGGAGAGAGATTGGGAACAAGAGAGAGCAAGCCAGGGAGTAGCGGGGTGCGGGCAGGGCCAAGGAAGAGCTCTCTTCCCGACCCTGCTTGGGGGAACCAGGCAACCTGAGCCCCGCGACCGGGGGAGGCCGAACTCCTCCAGGAAAGTTTCCGCTCGCCCCCGGGGGCGTGTGCCCAGCACACCCCTTGCGCCCACCTGCTGGGAGCTGGCTCCAGCGCCTGCTCATTCCCGAGGCTGCCACCACCTGGTCCGGGAGAAGGCAGCGCGGCCGACCGGCCACGAGAGGGGGTTCCTGCGACTCCCGTGCCCCACTGCCTTCGCCCAGGGGCGCCGCTAAAGCAGGGGCGCATGCCGTGCCCGCATCTCCCGGGCACGCAGCAAGCGGGGGCTCGGCAGGAAGGCCGTGGAGCCTGCTCACTCTCCGGGCGCAATCCACCCTGCGCGCCGAGTGCCGCTGCCTGGACCCTCCGCGCCGGACACTCGGGCTGCGACAGGCGATGGAGGCTCGGGTGCCCGTGGTCCACTCCAGCCGCAGCCCGCAGCCGTGGACTCAGTGCTGCGGAGCCCAACCTCGCCACGGGAGAGGTCGGACCAGCGTCCCCGCCCTCCGCCCCTCAGTCCGAGGTGCCAAGCACCCCACAACGCCCGCAGCCCCGGCCCTGCTGGGCTCGCTAACTCCGGAGGTGCGCGGCTCCCGGGCGATGCAGGGAGCGCCGGCTCCGCCAGCGGGCAGCCTGCCCCGGGCGGACGGCCTGAGCTCCGGGCAGCGGCCGCGGGCACGGAGCCGCCGAAGGATGCCCGGCGAGTCTCCCGCCCGCTCCTGCAGACCACGGGAGCTCGGAGGAGCGCGGGGAGCCGGGGCTGCGCGCAGCAGCGCGAGCCGGGAAGAGCCGACCGCCCGGCTGGCTCGGAGGCGGCCCCGCGCCGGCCCCGGCTTCCGAGTGGCTGGAGCGGGGGCGGCAACTTACCCGGAGCGCGCTGGAGAGCGACAGCACGACGAGGAGCACGCCGGAGCCCGCGGTCATCTTCCCGCCGCGCCCGGAGCCCGGCGCCCGGCGCCCGCTCCCCGCCGCCGCCTCTCCGCTCCCCCGCGCCGGCCCGGCGCCTCCAGCCCGGCCGCGCCGGCCGCGCTCGCCGCCTCGGCTCCGGGAGCGAGGCCAGGAGCGGCCGGCGCGCTCCCTCCGGCCCGGTGCGTCCGCCGGCCCCGCAGCCGCCCGCGCCTCTGTCCCGCGCTCCGAGCTGCAGGTGGAGCGGCGCGGCTGCCCGCCCAGGCCCCGCCCCGCGGCCCGGCCCCTGCGCTCGCCCGGCCTGACGCGGCCCTTAAAGGCGCCGCGCCCGCGCGCCCGGCCCGGCTCCCCGCGCGCGCCTCCCGCGCCCCCGCGCTCCGGCCCGCTCCGGCCAGGGCGCTCCGAGCCACTCGGGCCGGTCGGCGTCCGGGGAGAGGGGCGCGGGGTGGCGCGCCGGGGACCGCAGACCACCCCCACCCCGGCCCGGCCCAGGGTGGCCGCCTCCCCGGGCCTGCGCACCGTGCGGGATGGGCGCTCGCTGGGGCCCAGAACTTCCCGCCGGGGCGCTTGCACGCTGCGCTCCACGCTAGGCCCTCTTCTTTCGAAGTCCGGCACACAGGCCTACCTCGTGGGCTTGCGCCAGCGGCGGGCATCTCAGAGGTCACTACCCGGAGAGGCCAGCAGATGAGGCCAGAGGACCCGACAACTCGGCCGGGCCGGGAGCGCCGGGCCTGCCCAGGACGGGACGCCCCCAACTCTCTCTCTCTCTCTCTCTCTCTCTCTCTCTCTCTCTCTCTCTCTCTCTCTCCCCATGCGCTGTGGGTGGTGCCCTGTCCGGCTCCATTCCTGTTGGCGCAGCCAGCCAGCCGCTGGCGGGTCTGGACAGAGGAGGCGCCAGCAGGGTCGCCGGGCCCCCTTGGCTCCGTGAAGGGAGATAATCGCCAACGTCGCACAGTGAGTGTTCTGCCCGCTTGCTCTGCCCCAGGAGCCGCCAGGGACAGCCCGCTTGCTCTGCGCCCCAGGAGCCGCCAGGGACAGCGGATTCCTTGCTGGAGGTTTCGGATTTTCTTTGTCTTGCAGGGGAGGCGCTGGGTGTCCAGAAAGCCTTGGTGCTGTTTGGAGCACCAAGGTTGGAGTTCACCCAGGCGCCTTGCAGGATTGGGGGTGGGGGGAAGCCTTGCCCTCAGCCCTGGGGTGTGTGGGGGGAGGGCATGAGTGGGGACAGCAGCAGCTGCCTAGGGCCCGAGAACAAATTCACCCCACATCCACATGCGGGAGCGCTCCAGGGCTCCGTCAGGTACCCAGACCTTTCAAAGACCCCTTTCTTCCTCACTGGCTCAGCCACCTGCTGGGCCACAGCTGCAGCCTGATGAGCCTCCAGGGTGATGCCCGCTGAGCACTGCCAGGGCCATCCTGGCCCCCAGACACCGCCCAGGGGCCGGCAGGTGAGCAGAGAGGGAGAGAGTCCTGGGGCCTGGGCAGGCGGGACTGGCGCCTCCCCACATCTCCTGTTGACTGAAGCCACTCTGACTTCCAGCCAGCCCAGCCCATGTAGGAGCTTGGTGCTGATGAACCCGCGGGTGTCTTCTGTCTGTACAAGGGGGGGATGCTTTCTCTCCCACTGAGCAGCGAGGCCCAGCCAGGCGCAGAGGTGCTGGCCCAGGTGGAAGCAGGGGTGGGTCCCACATCCCACCTCAGACCCCAGTGTCCCTGTGTCCCAGCCCCAGTGTCTTGTTAAGGAGAGATGCCGGGCAGCGAGGGGCTCTGCAGTGGCTTATGAGCGCTCACGGGTTCTGGAGGAAGGCTCAGGGTTGCAGAGAGGGGAGAGTCCAGCTCGGAGCATTGGCTTTTCAGCTCCAGGCTGCCGGGGGGGGGGCTTGCTTCCACGCAAAGGCCTGGCTCCCTCATTTATACTCAAAAGGTGGGGCCTGCAACTGCCCCTGCCCGGTGACCTGGGCTTCCTGGCATAGAGCCCCTGATCCTGGGACAGCCACCTCTGACCCACAGAGACGCCTGTGCCCAGGGCAGGTTTCTGGGCTCCACCTTGCAGGCCTGGCACTATGGGGAGAGGGCCTGGCAGTTCCTGCACCCTAGCGACTGGGAACCCCCAACCATCCCACAGATTGCATATTCCCAGAGCCGCTACCTGCCCTTCCCCCACACCTATGGCACCTGAGCCACAGCCTGTGAACCTGGGCCTTGAGGGAGCAGGTTGACAGGCCCCTGGCAGGGCTGTTGGCACAGCTGGCACCAGCCTGTCCAGTGCAGGATGGGGACCTGCTCTTAGGGGGGCGCTGCACTGTCTTTGTGTGGATGAAGGGCCTGTGATGGAAGTTAGCTTCTGATTCTTAGATAAAGGGCTGTCCCGTGGCACAGCAGCACGTGCGTGGCCATTTCGTCCCGTGGCACAGCAGCACGTGTGTGGCCATTTCATCCAGCACCTGTGAACGCTCCTCTGCCAGGGTTTGCCTGTCTACCTCCTGTTGGGCATTGGGAGGGACCCACATGCAAGTCAGTGTGAGGGGCAGGGGCTGGGGAAGGGCAGGGGAGGGGTAGGGGAGGGGCGGGGCAGGGCAGCACAGGGCAGGGCAGCACAGGGCAGCGCTGGGAGGGGCAGGGGAGGGGAGGGGCAGAGGCTGGGAAAGGGCAGGGGAGGGGCAGGGCAGGGCAACACAGGGCAGGGCAGCACAAGGCAGGGCTGCAGGAGTTGGCATTGGCTGCTCCTTCTGTCCGGGTTCATTTCCCATGGTGTTTTCTGTGTCGGTGTCAGACCGTGGCTGTTTAAGGAGGGAGACAGTGGGAAGATGCCCCCAGGTGTGCTGGGGGAGGGAAATGATGCTGAGCGGCAGGTGACCAGGTGACCACAGTGCTGGCCCTGGCAGTGTGTTGGGAGCTGCTCACTTTGCTGCCTAGCCCGATCAGCTCAGTCCCCGGGGACTGGGGACTGGCGGGCCCAGGCCTCTGCATTCCTCCCTGCTGGAGCTCCCGTGAGGAAAGGGGCAGACTGGAGATGAGGGCTCCTCTCCTGCTGCCTCTCCCTGTGTGCCGAGGGGCACCTGCTGTCCAGCAGGTCTCGCCGGGCAGGTGCACAGCATCCTCACCCTCCTGCAGGGCAGTGGGCAGGGGTGGGGCTCCCTCCGCCTCGGTCCAGGTTAGAAGGGTTCTGCGGTGGAGAGAGGGGATGTGCGTCAGGCTTAGTCCGCGCTTGGCGCCCTTCCTCAGGGGCTGGCCCTGTTGCTTTCCTAAAGGGTGGCGGCGTGTTCCCAGGGCAGGGGCCGTGGGGCTGCAACCAGCTTGGACCAGCCCAGCGGCCGGGGTGGTGGTCTCTTTGCAACCCCAGCATGGGCTTGGCCTGAGTGTGCCAGAGTACGTGGCTGTCAGTGGGCTCTGCAGGATCAACGGGCGGTCTCCTCCACTCAGACACTGCAGCTCCTCTGACAGTTGGTGGCAGACACGGTGACACTGGCCCCAGAGCCGTGGCCGAGTGACAGCCGTACAGGGGATGGCTCTGTGCTGCTCTGTCTCCCCCTGTGGCAGTGGGAATCTCACAAAGCTGTCAGGGCGGGGAGGGGGCCGAGGGAGCAGCCTTGGCCAGGAGCAGTGTGGGCAGGTGGTGCCCAGCCTTGCTCTGCAAGCTCACCGTGCAGATGACAAGTTTGGTTTTGGCATCAGCTATCTGCACTCCTGGCTCAGGAAGGTGGTTGGGGGGAGCCCCTGACAGGAGGGGTGCTGGCGCAGGGCTTGCTGCATGCAGCTGGACCACCATGTCCTTGGCCACACGAGGGTGGCACATGGCGGAACCCACTTACCTGGGGTCGGGCTCTCCTGACTTGCAGGGGAAGCTCTGTGATTGTCAGCCGGCCGGACTGCAGTGTGGGATCTGGGCCGTGCGTGGTCGTCAATGGGAGGAGAGTCGGTGCTAATTCACATACATGCGTGCCCAGGTGCGGCTGGACCCGGGTGTGCCAGCCTGCTTTGACCAGTGGGCTCTGCCTCCTTGGATCTTGTACACGCTGGCTTCATGTGCACAGCCAAGTCACCACCCAGCTCCTCAGAAGCCCTGGCGCTGCAGCCCAGCCTGGGCACCGACGCTGTCTCAGCAGGTGCCACTGCCGGCCTGACAGCACGCCCTGATGGGTGGGGCAGCTGGTCAAGCTGAGGCTCGCCCAGGGCAGTGTGGGATTACCCAGGGGAGGCCAGGGCCCCAGTGCTGAGAGGAGGACAGTACCACTCCCGTCACACCAGCGCCTGCAGGGCCTGAGCACCGCTCGGCTGGACATGGGACCCCCACAGGTGTGATTGTGGTCATGGCTGCGTTTTGGACAGTGGGGTCATAGGTTCATGTGTTTGCATCATTCCTTGCTGTCCACTTGCGCCCCTTGGATGTCAGCTTAGAATAGGAAGGACGGGTTTGCTCTGCACGTGCGGTGCGCGTCTGTGGTCATGCTGGCTGACCGGGGACTCTTTGTGGTGGCTCCAGGCCCCTAGGGAGTGCGTGGGAGGGGCCCTACTCCGCTTCTCCCCTGCGAGATGCCTCCTGCTCCGGCCAGTGAGCAGAGACCAGCTGGAGCCAGTGCTTCTAAATCAATACAGAAATGACAGTGATGCCATTTCACCTTCATAGGGTGCAGCTCAAATGGGCTGGAGCAACAAAACTGAAATTAAATGGAATTTGGGGAGTGACAGCGGCGGGGGCCAAGGCTGGGGAGGGGTGGGGGAGGGGACCTGGTCCTTTGTAGCACAGAGTCATATGCAATCAGAAAAAAAAAAGTCTTGCCCAGATCTGAGGCAGCTGGCAGAGGTCCAGGACCCAAGCAGACAGTGAAGTTGTGTTTACCCAGCATGCTTCAGTAAACTTCCAATCTGTTTACAGGTATGCATGACAAACTGCCTTGAACGTGTGAGTTATTGGTTCTGCTATAAATGAAATTAATACGATGAGGTGGAGGAGGTGTTAGAATCACACGGCCCCAAAGCCAACTGAGCTTGGAGAGCAGGGTCGGTGTTCAAGTGGGGGAGGTCGT